TTTTATAAATGTTATAGGTGAAATCCAAATTTCAAGTCTCAAATTAACACAAAAATGACTTTATAAGAGATTAATAAATTTAGGCGATTAGACCGTTCTCTCTTAAATTAAAATTTTGATGACAATGATGGCCAAAAAAATAGTTTTTTTGGAGGACAATTTACGCATGTCTTTGCCTATACCATCTTAAGAAGAGACTTTTTTTTTTTTTCTCTGACTTAATACAATAGATAATAATATATCACCATAATTATAAATTTATAACATAATGTATTATTATATAATTAATTTTTTTATTCACTTAAAAATTTATTCATGATACTATATATATTTATTTTATATCATATAAAATTATAATTTTATTATTTTATAATATTGGGATGGCAACAGATCCTCAAGAGATTCTTTCCCCATCCCTATCTCTGCCAATGGCGAGTATAGGGATCCCATGGGGATCTTTGGCGAAGGTTAAAAAATAACCTCTATCCCCATACATGCAGAGAATAATGGATTCCTGTAGGTATTTGGTGTCCCCACCAAATAAAACTATCACCTATTTCGTTGTTTGTTAATCAAAATTAAGCTCAATATGGGTTTGCATAGACTCCATTGATTCCCACATTTATCAAATTAAACTACCTCAAATAATCATATAAAGTAAAAATCTGAAACAAGACAAACAAGTAGTAAATATACACAACCAATATATACATGTCAAGCAGGTCCAGCAAGTCAGCAACAAGTTCATAAAAAAAAAACATAAATTGTCATATAAGTCTAGCAAATCCAACAAAAGATTCCTAAAAATAAAATAAAATAAAATAAACTGCAACTATCATTAGCAAAGTTCATAGGAAAAAATGCATAAATTGCTACCATGCATGTACAGCAATAAATTCATTAAGAAAAAGGGCATAAAAGAGTTTAGTAAGTGGTACATGCATACACATCCATCCAATCTAGCAAGGCAAACTTTGCAACAGCAACTTAAGCTAAGCTTGATCAATAATTTTAAGTTGCAGAAATAACTTCCTGAAACAAAAACAAGTACCCCAAGTTAACAAAATTTTAGGAATAATTCTTTATATAATAATTTATAAAAAGAAATATTATTGTTTAAAATTTACTCTAG